TGTTTAAAATTTTTTCTGCGGCGAAAGCATAGTTGTTCGGGCTAGCCATGAGACGAAACAGAAGCTGCCCAGCGAAGGGTACTCAAGAGTAACTTATAGCAATCGGTACCTGGACTTCTTCCCTCCAATTGGAGTCAAAATTCAGGGGACAGAGGGTTGATAGCTTACATGCTGCGTTAGAGGTGCTTGACCCGTTATATAGTTGAATGTTTTAAGTAAAGATGCACCAGATAGTGATTTTGCCGGGTCTTCTTTTTTTCTCTTGCAGAATTACTCCGTACTCTCGGGTATGCGCCGTTATTATCCGGTACCCGACCGGATCTTAAAAGAGTCTCAGATCCGTCAGGTACAGGATCCAAACCGCGTACCCTGTTCATCTCTAGTTTTAAGGGTTTGGATAGGCTCGAACCTGAGGGATACTCTGTCAACTTTAATGGCTTCTTGGACCACTCCGTCTGATAGAGGGGAAACCTCAAAAAGTTTACTCACTATCTTGATACTGATGATGTGCTGGTGCGTGTAGATAAACCTTATTACAAGGTAGACGCATCACGATAAATCTGTATTAGTTGACCAAACTCCATCACTACCCTGTGCCTGACGAAGCGGGCATGGATCGTCAGTGTGGATACGACGATATTGGCCTTGGCTTTTACACTCTTGTAGTTTTGGGCTTAATGGATACCTTAAAAAAGCCAATGTGCAGAAGGTGGCTAAATCAATTTATTTTATTATATATCGTTTTTTAATGTGTAGTGTATTACTTTACACTGTATATTGGAAAAATATTTCAATTTCGACTTGACTTGATTAAATCGTGGATTTGATTTTGTTAGTTTAGGTATGGTCTTTGTCATTTTTTGACACTTGTAGTAGGACTGAAATAAATATTGAAAAATTATGACCGGTTTTCTATCTCTATCATTTTAAATGTCTAATGATAAGAATTATCAACCAATTATTAGTTAATGTCTGTTCATTGATCTCATCTTTATTTGTTCAAAAGTATTTGCTCTTTTTGAGCGGAAGGCCTAGTTAGTGCGTATCTTTTGAGAATCAACATCACCCAAAGCGATGTCAACCACTTCTTCGCTGAATCCTTTCTAACTTTACGACGACAACTGTCACTTTTTGCCTTTTTGGCTAGTATGGTCCGCCTGGGTGTGACGGTTCTGCAGCCATTTCATTTCTGAGAGCTGAATTGCTGAATAGGCTAAAATATTTGCACACACTGAAAATACCTCTCAAATACCGAGCATGAGTGCAAGATGAGAAAGACATTCTAAAAGACCGAAGATATGTTCGCACATGGCGGTTTTCATATAGTCTGTCACACAATGCTGGTTCAAAGCCATATTGTATTCTGTTTTTTTGCAGATAGGTATAATATTGTTTTAACCAAACTATTCTTCTTTTTCGTGAAAATTAAGGACCACAAAACCTGTTCACTGTGGACACGTGTTTCGCCTACTTCATAAGGGTGCAAGAGTTTCGTAATTTAATGAGGCTCTCACGTTGATAATACTTTGTGGCTTGTATTTTTAATCCTTTACTTTATAACAAAAATGACTTGAAAAATAAATTAATAAATTTAAATAAAGTAAGAAAAATACATATGTATACATATATCAAAATGTAAAACCAAACGCAACTAAACGTAGACAACTTGCTATAGACTTTAAAATTTTGTTCTGATCTTTATAAGGTTTATATTCAGATAAGACCAAACTATATTGCGCGATGATATTGTTGATTTAGTGTACTTTATTAAAATGTAATCAATGTCGAATTTTATTTAGTCGTTTAGTAAAGGCTCACTTTAACAGTAGAAGATAATTAATAGTAGATCAACGAGTTTGTTAAATTTCAAGTTTAATCTCTTTTCTTAACATCGCAAACTTTCCGCATTTTATCTACAATAGTTTTCAACTTAATCGGAGGAGTTGGTTTATACTCGTGTAAATCTTCAGGCTTTAAACTTGCTTCAGTTATTAGAATGACTTTAAAGTTTTTAAGTATAAACAATGCCTGATAAAATTCCCATTAGTGGGAGGTAAGCTTTCAGTAAAAATAAAAAGCAGGTTTTAATTGTAAGTACATTTTAATAAACCGCAAAATTATAATTAATTGTTAGTTTAAACAATATGTTTTAGATTACAGTTGACAGTTGAAGGTTGCGCATGCTGTACGCGCAGCTTCCGTTGCACGCTAAAATTTTGCTCTCGACGCGCTATATATTGGTTTTATGAACTTCACATGTAAGGATGTTAATTCTACATTTAGGTCTATTCAGGGCTATGCTAGCTTTCTTGTTTTGTACTTTATTGTGTTCCTTCGTTGAGGAATTATTGTGCTGGAGGTTGGAGCTTCTTAAAAATTGATTCTAGTAGCGAAAATTGTAACATAAGATATTTATTGGAGCAATTGCCAAAGAAGTTTCCTCCAGTTCTGATTCCTTGAATTATTTATTACAACTGTGCCACTGCAATCATAATCATGCTACTCAAACAACCCAAGCTAAATTGCGAACAAAACAGAATTGGCTTTTTTAATGTTTTCACGGAGATGTAGTTACTTTTATAAAGGTATTTTTATTTCTTTTTGCTTTTATCACTTATTGGCGCTAGTTTATAAAAATTACATTAAGACAACAAGTACGGCTTGCTCAATGACATGATGTTATTAGCAGTATATCAACATCTAGTGATGTTTATTGATAACTGTAGAATTTCAAATATCTGACAAGGGCCCTACGAAGATATTTATGTGCTAATTAACTCATAACTATTAGATTATCTTTCAGTCTCTTCTGTCTTGATTTCGTCCGTCTCATCTTTCTCACCTCAACCATCACCCACTAATTCCCATGATTCCTAAAAAGAGGCTGAAGAGAACATTCCGTCTTACCCTCCGACGTAGTCCGAAGGGACTGCTCAACAACCAACAATAGTAGCTGGTGGGAATGAAACATCCAAATGTTTAAAGTTTTTTCTGCGGCGAAAGCATAGTTGTTCGGGCTAGCCAGGAGACGAAACAGATGCTGCCCAGCGAAGGGTGCTCAAGAGTAACTTATTGCAATCGGTACCTGGACTTCTTCCCTCCAATTGGAGTCAAAATTCAGGGGACAGAGGGTTGATAGCTTACATGCTGCGTTAGAGGTGCTTGACCCGTTATATAGTTGAATGTTTTAAGTAAAGATGCACCAGATAGTGATTTTGCCGGGTCTTCTTTTTTTTTCTAGCAGAATTACTCCGTACTCTCGGGTATGCGCCGTTATTATCCGGTACTCGACCGGATCTTAAAAGGGTCTCAGATCCGTCAGGTACAGGATCCAAACCGCGTACCCTGTTCATCTCTAGTTTTAAGGGTTTGGATAGGCTCGAACCTGAGGGATACTCTGTCAACTTTAATGGCTTCTTGGACCACTCCGTCTGATAGAGGGGAAACCTCAAAAAGTTTACTCACTATCTTGATACTGATGATGTGCTGGTGCGTGTAGATAAACCTTATTACAAGGTAGACGCATCACGATAAATCTGTATTAGTTGACCAAACTCCATCACTACCCTGTGCCTGACGAAGCGGGCATGGATCGTCAGTGTGGATACGACGATATTGGCCTTGGCTTTTACACTCTTGTAGTTTTGGGCTTAATGGATACCTTAAAAAAGCCAATGTGCAGAAGGTGGCTAAATCAATTTATTTTATTATATATCGTTTTTTAATGTGTAGTGTATTACTTTACACTGTATATTGGAAAAATATTTCAATTTCGACTTGACTTGATTAAATCGTGGATTTGATTTTGTTAGTTTAGGTATGGTCTTTGTCATTTTTTGACACTTGTAGTATGACTGAAATAAATATTGAAAAATTATGACCGGTTTTCTATCTCTATCATTTTAAATGTCTAATGATAAGAATTATCAACCAATTATTAGTTAATGTCTGTTCATTGATCTCATCTTTATTTGTTCAAAAGTATTTGCTCTTTTTGAGCGGAAGGCCTAGTTAGTGCGTATCTTTTGAGAATCAACATCACCCAAAGCGATGTCAACCACTTCTTCGCTGAATCCTTTCTAACTTTACGACGACAACTGTCACTTTTTGCCTTTTTGGCTAGTATGGTCCGCCTGGGTGTGACGGTTCTGCAGCCATTTCATTTCTGAGAGCTGAATTGCTGAATAGGCTAAAATATTTGCACACACTGAAAATACCTCTCAAATACCGAGCATGAGTGCAAGATGAGAAAGACATTCTAAAAGACCGAAGATATGTTCGCACATGGCGGTTTTCATATAGTCTGTCACACAATGCTGGTTCAAAGCCATATTGTATTCTGTTTTTTTGCAGATAGGTATAATATTGTTTTAACCAAACTATTCTTCTTTTTCGTGAAAATTAAGGACCACAAAACCTGTTCACTGTGGACACGTGTTTCGCCTACTTCATAAGGGTGCAAGAGTTTCGTAATTTAATGAGGCTCTCACGTTGATAATACTTTGTGGCTTGTATTTTTAATCCTTTACTTTATAACAAAAATGACTTGAAAAATAAATTAATAAATTTAAATAAAGTAAGAAAAATACATATGTATACATATATCAAAATGTAAAACCAAACGCAACTAAACGTAGACAACTTGCTATAGACTTTAAAATTTTGTTCTGATCTTTATAAGGTTTATATTCAGATAAGACCAAACTATATTGCGCGATGATATTGTTGATTTAGTGTACTTTATTAAAATGTAATCAATGTCGAATTTTATTTAGTCGTTTAGTAAAGGCTCACTTTAACAGTAGAAGATAATTAATAGTAGATCAACGAGTTTGTTAAATTTCAAGTTTAATCTCTTTTCTTAACATCGCAAACTTTCCGCATTTTATCTACAATAGTTTTCAACTTAATCGGAGGAGTTGGTTTATACTCGTGTAAATCTTCAGGCTTTAAACTTGCTTCAGTTATTAGAATGACTTTAAAGTTTTTAAGTATAAACAATGCCTGATAAAATTCCCATTAGTGGGAGGTAAGCTTTCAGTAAAAATAAAAAGCAGGTTTTAATTGTAAGTACATTTTAATAAACCGCAAAATTATAATTAATTGTTAGTTTAAACAATATGTTTTAGATTACAGTTGACAGTTGAAGGTTGCGCATGCTGTACGCGCAGCTTCCGTTGCACGCTAAAATTTTGCTCTCGACGCGCTATATATTGGTTTTATGAACTTCACATGTAAGGATGTTAATTCTACATTTAGGTCTATTCAGGGCTATGCTAGCTTTCTTGTTTTGTACTTTATTGTGTTCCTTCGTTGAGGAATTATTGTGCTGGAGGTTGGAGCTTCTTAAAAATTGATTCTNGGAGTTTGTTATTCAATAAACGCGTTTATTAACCAACGTATAGTACATTGCTGTAACGAATAATTGTTCATTAAAAAATCAAATCAACTTCTTTGAGGCAACGAACAGCATCCATTGTTCAATAACTCGTTCGTTGTAATAACGAAAGGTATTAATTACGCTATATATTGGTTTTATGAACTTCACATGTAAGGATGTTAATTCTACATTTAGGTCTATACAGGGCTATGCTAGCTTTCTTGTTTTGTACTTTATTGTGTTCCTTCGTTGAGGAATTATTGTGCTGGAGGTTGGAGCTTCTTAAAAATTGATTCTAGTAGCGAAAATTGTAACATAAGATATTTATTGGAGCAATTGCCAAAGAAGTTTCCTCCAGTTCTGATTCCTTGAATTATTTATTACAACTGTGCCACTGCAATCATAATCATGCTACTCAAACAACCCAAGCTAAATTGCGAACAAAACAGAATTGGCTTTTTTAATGTTTTCACGGAGATGTAGTTACTTTTATAAAGGTATTTTTATTTCTTTTTGCTTTTATCACTTATTGGCGCTAGTTTATAAAAATTACATTAAGACAACAAGTACGGCTTGCTCAATGACATGATGTTATTAGCAGTATATCAACATCTAGTGATGTTTATTGATAACTGTAGAATTTCAAATATCTGACAAGGGTTTTACGAAGATATTTATGTGCTAATTAACTCATAACTATCAGGAGTCGATCGTTTTACTATGTTATATAGCATAACACTATTGGAAATTAATATAATATTAAGTCATTGACAGTATACCGCCATCTACTTACATTTATTGCTAAGTGCAGTATAATAACTTCGAAATCACGTCTGGCGGTTTCTATAATTTTGATAAGTAGATTATATGAAATACTGCAGTTAGCAGTAGATATCAGTAGATGGCGACATACTGCCAGTAACTTGGTATTTTTACGGAGCAGGGTCTATTTGGTTGACGGATTAACTAATCTGCCCATGCGTGCTGATGAAAGCTATCGTCAATTGTGACCCACGTTTGATAGTTTCCTTAAATTATACCAAGAACGTTCTCTGTCACTTGTATTTCTACTTTTTAAGGAAAACGAACATGATGGGCGTGTATGTTCTTACTTGTTGGACCTGATTATGGGAGGGAATCCTAAAAATAGAAGTTTAAAAAATTTTAATGCAATTGTTTCGTTACACAGGTGAATTTATACTTAGTTTGCATTATTTACTAATGTGTAATTGATCAGGAAGTTTTATACTTTGTGTTTCGTATTTATTCATTTACAAGTTGTTAATTTCTGTTAAAACTTCATCATTGGAATATTTTGTAGGAAATGAAGTGTAATTTTCTTCAATCGGAATATTACAGTATGCAAACTAATCTATCATTGTACTTACAACAAGCGAGATGCAGATGTCTAAATATGACAAATTCGTAAAACAAAAGGGCCAATTTCGAAACCGGCATTTAGTCCTTGCCGTTTCTCGGCTTCCGCCAGATAATATTACGGCCAACTGAGACATTGTGCTGGAAAGTTAGTTTTCCAACTAGTTGCGGTTCCGAACACTTGCCTGACAAGCCATTGAATATCCGCAACCATTGGGTGTTTTGTCATAAATCATTGCAGGAAGTATCTTACAACTAGTCACCATTACCGTCTACATTGTATCAAAAAACAACACGAACTGCTAGAAATTAGTTTCGATTACTTGGAACACATCAGGTGATATACAACACAATACTTTTAGTAATTGTTATTGTAATTATTGTAGGGCACTGTATCATCCACAGTCAGATCGTGTCAAAATTTTTTGTCGCTGATTGTATTGCTGCAAGAAAGTGTAAATAAGAAAGAACATAAATTAATTACAAAAAAAATCACTTGTGTTAACTGAAAGTCTAAAAATTTGAACTTCTTAGTGTCGCTGCAATTAGATATTGTAGCGAGCACGAGTGTGTTTGTGTGTGATCGGGCACACGTGTGCGTGAACGGCTTATCGATTCGCCGACTAGCCGCGGGCGTCTTTCTTCATGTGCGCCGTATTTGTAAATATGTGTGTCGCACCTGCGTTCTGCGAAAGGAGATAAACAGTTCAAAGAAAAAATAAACTATCCGGACGTTTTCCAGAAGGTTCCCGAAAGTAAACAAAAGAGTATTTAAAGGAAGAGACTATCGCCGAGAGAAGTAGAAGTAAATTGACCGTTGTAGAAGTGAATCCAGAAATAAATTAACAATGAGAAGCGAAATAAATAGCGCAGTGAATAGTGATATAACAACAGTAGTGTAAATAAATAGAATAATTCTTAACCTCAGTTTAGTAATAATTTAATAGTGTTTTTAAGTTCTTTAATAATTAGTGTAAATAAATAGTTTTTGTCGTTATCAATCTTAGAAGTTAATTTTGTTAAACCGACGAACATT